CCAGGTTGAGCTGTTGTTCAGCATCTTAGCTGTGGAGGGCAGTGTCACTGGCCCTCATATGTGGGATCCGAACCGGGGCCCTCTGGCATCCCAAGTGAGTTCTTAACCATCGCGCCACTCGGCCGGCCCGAGTGGTTGTTTTTTGTAGCATTTCATTTCTGAAATATGTCTTTGTTTCTGTAATTGATTTTGAAAAGCCTGCCTACGGTTAGTCTAATTACTACTCTCTTGAGGAAATATTTCTTTTCTTTATGGCTACTTTTGAGACTATCTTTGTTTTAGGTATTCTAAATTGCATTAGGTTGTGAATAGATGTGGATTTATTTTAACTTATTCTACTTGGGACTTTCCCCTTGAATCTGAAGACTCATACCTTTAATTGAACCTGGAAAATTCTCAGCCATTATCTCTTCAGTTTTTGCTTCTTCTATTCTCTCTATTCCCTCCTTTTGGAATGTCTGTTTAAATGTGTGTCAGGCCTCATGCTGGCTTTCGTGTCTCAGAATGTTTTAAATTATGAAATACCACACATTCGGAAGAGTGACTATATCTATAGTTTAAATAATAACAATATATGTTATATAACAGTATACATTAGAGTTTAGTATAATAATACTAGAAAATGGGCACCTATGAGTTTACTGCCAGCGGCTTGAGCAGAGCAGTCCCTGGAGTAGAGTTCCTGAGGTGAAGTACTCACATGGTTTTTCTGAGGATGCAGTAAAGGAGTAAGACTGGCTTAGGTGCTTGGTAGCGGTTCCTTCTGTAAGGAGAGATACAGTTAGGGATGGGGTAGAGTGGGCTCTGGAGGTTGTTAAATTTTGGGTCACATTTATTGAGCACAAGTGCTGGGATAGTACCAAGTACTTTACCTGGATTGTCTCAGGTAATCCTCACATCAGCTCTTAAAGAATGAATTATAATGTTTTCGTTTTACAAATGAGGAACAGAGGCTGAGAGATGAAGTAATTTGGCCAGGACCTCAGATCTAGAAAACAGCAGAGCCAGAACTGCAGCCCAGACAGTCTGGTTCTCAACCACTGGTGCTTTGCTGCCTGTAAATGACCCGTGTGGCTTCTCTTACAACACCTAGATTCTGTATAGTATTGTGTTCCTTGGCATTTTCTTCTCTGAATTCCTTTTTTGGTAATGCAGGTCAGGAGATCCAAACTGGATTTAATTAGCTTTGCAAGAGAAAGGGGCAGCATGTGAAAAAAACTCAGGCCGTATGTCTGTAGACAGGGCACATCTCCACACCTCAACTTAGAACTCACTTTTCTCAAAGAAAACCTTTCCCAAAGGCCGTGACTCCTACAAGCCCGGTTGGATGCCCTTCTGTGCTCCTGCCACCCCGTGCCTGTCCTCGGGGAGCAGGTCTCCTGCTGCACTGTAATTGGTAGTTTAGATGTCTTGTCTTCTCTCACCAGACTCCATGCTCAGCCAGGACCGGGCTGCCCTGTTCACTTTGGTATTACCAACATTCAGCACACTGGCCCGTACAAGTTCACACTAACACATATTTGTCATTCTTACTGGTGGAGTAAATATATTATGCTACGAGAACTAATAATAGAATAGATTTTATTGAGTAGTTAGTGTATACTAGGTACTATAAATTAGAATTTTAACATCCCTGTACAGACAATTGCTATACTACATTATGATTTACCTAAAAAAGTTCTCTCACTTAATCCTCACAGTAATCCTGGGAGGTAACTATTATTGTTACTCATTTTGCAGATGATAAGTGGAAGCTTAGATTACGTGATTGGCCCGAGGTCACACGTGGTTTAAGTAGTATAGCCTGCTTTTGAACCCCGTCTGCCTTACTCTGGAGCCTGTGGTCTTTACCCTTTAGCGTACTGCTTCTCTGGAGATTTCACAGCCAAGTCAAAGTGGAGAAACAATTTATTGATCCTGAAAAATTGCCAAGAAGCCTGCCCCAGTTTGTGATGACTTGCCAGAATAGGAGAGTAACAACAAAAAAATGGGTTTAGTTTTGCATTGTGGTGATTTCTTTTTGTTCACCTGCTATTGGAGCATGTGAAACCTCAACATGGGTTGACATTATGCTGCTTACAAAAAAATGAAGTAGCTTTTGTACATCTGTTGTTAAAACAGCATTTGTCTTGGTTAACACAAAATTGATCTAAGCCAGACTGGTTTGTTAGATTCAAATGTGTAACATAAGCAAATTGTGATGACTACTTATGGCCAACATTAAAAATTGTAGTCTTAATGAGAGGTGGAACTGGATAATGGATGAGATGTAGTTGGTGTTAATCAGACTGGCTGGCTGGCATTTCTGTTGATTGAAGACAGTGGAGAGACTGAGGCATTGAAATGTAGTCCTTTAGTCCCTAAACAATAGCTAACGCGTTTCTTTTTATTACCCTAACTTTGCCTGCTCAACAATGCTATTCATTTCCAGAACTGTTAATTTGTATATTCAAGGATAGTAGCTTATAGTAAAAGTTATATTTTAAATAATACCGGGGGTTTTTTTGCAGTAGAAATATACCTATAATTTATAATTTGGCTATCATAGGATTATAGTTTGGTAAAAGACTTTTGTGTTGTCTTTTGCTATATCTATTAATACTATTGATTAAATAAAATCTCTATTATTTTAGGAATTGACTGTATTTCCCCATGTATAAGACGCTTCCATGTATAAGACACACCTTAATTTTGGGGCCCGAAATTTGAAAAAAATGTATTACATAAAGTTATTGAACTCAAGTTTTGTTTTTTTTTTATAGGTTTTTATTGGGGAGTTGGGGTATGGGAACAGCACTGGGGAGTTGGGGGAAGGGGAACAGACAAGTTGCTGTCCTTTTGTCCTTCAGTCTAGTTGTGGAGGACGTTGCTTCACTGGCCCAAGTTGGCACCATCATTGCGCTTTTCCCGGGCGAGGCAGATCAGTCGCCGGCTTCTGGACGGCCGCTCACTGCGGCTGCTGGCCACTCATGCTGGCTGCTGGCTACACACGGTAGCCCATGGCAACCCACTGCAACAGGGGCTGCAGCTTATGCCATTGCCGGCGACTCACGGCAGCCCAGCTCCAGGTTGAGCTGTTGTTCAGCATCTTAGCTGTAGAGGGCAGTGTCACTGGCCCTCATATGTGGGATCCGAACCGGGGCCCTCTGGAGTCCCAAGCCAGCTCTTAACCAACGCGCCACTCAGCCAGCCCTGAACTCAAGTTTTATTCATCATAAAATTCATACAACTCCTCATCACTTGCGGAAAATGCAAGTAAAAATATCTACGACTACTATATAACATGCACCCAGTTTTTAGACCCTAAAATTTTGGGAAAAGGGTGCATCTTATACATGGGGAAATACGGTAGATTCTTAATTTGATGGAGTGTCCTCAGTAGCAACTGTATCTGGAAATGAAAGTTGACAGTTCTTACTAGTTGACATTGGCTTATATATGAATGTTATCACTTGTAAACCATGGAGAGTTTTGGGTGGAGGTGATAAAGGAGAAATGGGTCTGAGAGAGCACTCAAACTCTGGCATTGATATTACATACTAAGCTTGTTTCTCTCTTCTTTCAGACTGGTCGAATTGACAAATCCTACCCTACAGTATGTGGTCACACAGGACCGGTGCTCGACATAGACTGGTGCCCACATAACGATCAGGTCATTGCCAGCGGTTCAGAGGACTGCACGGTTATGGTAAGCTCCCAGGGTGTGGCCCACACACAGGCCAGTGAGACCCACCTACTGCCTTCAGAAAGTATGGAAAGTATGTGTGTGTGTATAGAGGCTGGAAAATCATAGCCGTTTTGATTGTTCATTGGATTAGACTTAGTGACATTAAAGTTTAACTGCAGATAAGCTTTTTTTTTTCCCCCAGAAAGCTTTTTACAAAGCCTTATATCAAAAGGCTGTACTATGTTGTCTTTTTTTTTTCTTCTTTTGTACGAGGTGTGTGTGTGTACATGTTTATTGCCAGTTGACACGTCAGCTCGGTGGGAAGATTTTAGAGAAATTGATTTGACTTTCTGGTAATTCTGTGAATAACATTGGACCATGTGACTCACCCTCCCCTTCCCAAAGGAGAAAAAACACCGATAGCATGAGTTGTATATTATGGTGAACTAAGATGGCAAAGGTTATACAGATAAAATGGGGTGTGTAACAGATATTGAGAGATAGCAAAGAGTTTTTACAAGTGACTCTTTACAAGATAATGTCAGAAGGTGTGTTCTGTCCACTGGACCCTGGTTAAGGAAGTCCTTTTTGTGCAGCTATACAAACATTTTGGGAAATGTTTAAAGTTAAGTTCTTCATATTCTCTCACTTGGATTCCAAAAGTAGGTTATGTATGAAATCAGGTTTGGGGGTACTTTTTAATGTAAAGCTTGCTGTTCTTGATTATGTTCTTCTTAGCCTTAAAATATAATTATTGGTTTTGATCGTTTCTAAATCCTAACCCAAAATATATTGAAAAGGTTAAGCACAGATGAGGAGTACTGAAATAAATACTAAAATAAGTGAGGGCTAATTAACTAATTAAGTTACCAGCAGTTTTACACATGTCAGGTGGAGAGCTTGGAGAACCACGCTACTTTTGTTTCCCCCTTCATTTTCTGTTGACTGAACCAGACTTGCAAACATTGTTTGGAAGCCTTTATTAATTAAAATTCTTGTACATAAACATAAATTCATTCCTGAACTGTGCCATTTAAACATTTACTCATTTCTCCTCATGGACTTTTGGCTGAGGATAACTCCTCCTGTGATCTCATCATTTTGGCAGCCAAAGCACGTTAAAAAAATACGCTGCTGTTAAAAGGAATTGTTCCATTTAATGTGCCTTGAAAATTGATCATTTTAATGGTTCCAGACACATTTTGCTAAGGGAAGGGAACAGTGTTTCTACCTGATGCCAAAACTGAGTTTAACCTGTCTGGAAGAAGCAGGTTTGATCCATCTTTCGCGCTCTCCAGCATTATTAGTCATGTTGCCCCTTTAAAAAAGCTTTTGTATTATTAAACACATTAAACAAAAGTTAAGTGAATTCAGTTAAGTGTATTAAGTGAGTTAAGTGATGATTTATTACAAAGTGAATACCCTGTAACCATCACCAAGGTCAAGAGATAGAACTTTCTCAGCCTTACAGACTCTTCCATGCACCCCATCCCAATCCCAAACCCCTCCCTCCCGAAAAGTAACCACTATCCCAATTTTTCTGAGACTCACTTCCTTGCCTTTCTTTATGGTTTTAATCACTCAAGTGTGCATCTCCAGACACTGTAGCTTAGTCTTGCAAGTTTTAAAAACTTGATTATGTCTTTTTAAGTCTTTCTTAATCCTTCTCCATCCTTTTCTTGTCCTGAACAGTGTTATCTGTTGAAGAAGACTGTCCTTTGACCTATATCTTTCAACAGCCTAGGTTTTGCAGATTGCACCCTCCCGGTGCAGTTCCACATGCCTCTGTTCCCTGAATTTCCTGCAGATTGGCAGCTGGATCCTGAAGTGTGATCAGATTCAGGTTCGATCCCTTTGGCAAGACTTTATAGCTAGTGTTAAATGTTCTTCCATCGGAGGCACAGGATGTCAAGTGCCTGGTTTTTGATTTGTGCAGCTGTTGACACTCAACACCTAGATTCATCAATTCATTGTATGGGGTTTCACAAAATGGTGATATTCAACTCAGTTATTTTGTTTTCAGCTTTTAGCTGGTAAAAATTTTAAGGTGAAACTCCCTCTTACCTACTACTAGTTAGTTACCCAATAATACAATTCATATAGGAAAGCAAGATATGTGCTTGATTCTTTCCTTTTATTTACCCAGTTTTCAGGATAATGAATTGGTTCTCTGTCTTTCTCAGAAGGTGACCAATTAGGTTTTTTTCCCCCCTTTCATTTTGAACTCATGGATTTATACATATTTCACAGGTTTTGATCTATTACAGTTCTTATTTCAAAGCTCAGGTCATCCACTTTCGTTAATGGGAACCTTTTGAGGTTCCTTTGTCCTTTTGACATGACCCTAGTTTTTAATAGCTTATTTGCTACTTGGTATATTAAGGTGTTCCAGGCTCATCGTGGATATCTCATGCCCCACACCGCAAATCGGCCATTTTTCTTAGAAGCTCTGATTTCTTTTAATGGAAAATGGAATTTCTAGATCACAATCTGGGTGCTAGGGATGCTCGTACCATGGTGATCACTGTTTTTAAGACTTTGCTATTGTTATCACTATGTATGGTGTCAGGTGGGTACTAGACTTATTGGGGGGATCACCTCCTAAGTTATATAAATGTCTGACCACTATGCTGTACACCTGAAATTAATATAATATTGCATGTCAACTGTAATTGAAAATTTTTTTTAAATTTAGAGACACTTCAATAAATGGGGCTAGAATATACAGATATATTTAAAGATATAATACCTTATGACTTCATCTTCATATTTCCAGTTCAAATTCAGGACTATAGAGTTTACCTAACCGCTTTAATATTACATCTCTATCTCCTTTCTTCTACTGAGAATCCTGGTTTTCAAGGAGTCAGAGGATGAATTAGAATACCCTGATCCATCTCATTTGCTTTTTCACAGTATACATACAGTAACCTCACAGTCAAAATACTAGCATCACCACGAATTATGATTACTGAAAACAGTTTTAAAAAAATTAACTTTCAGTCCATGCTATCTCTACTTTCCCTCCATTTAAAAATGATGTGCTCTATGTTTTCAAGATCACATAGCCTCATAACAGCCTTACCTCTTGGTTCTGCAAGTAACTACATTTAGTGTTGTCCATCAGTCCTTATGCTGATCTCTCTCAAGTCATTTGGATTACCCGAAGCTCCTTCTCTGGTAGATTCTAGACCCAGGACTCCAGAATCCAACCAGAGAGTGCTCCCGTCTGGGATAGGCCCCTCACTGAGAGAAATGACAAGGAATGAAATCAAATAGGAAAGGCTCGTGGGAACAATATTCTCTAAGTTCTCCTGTGTTGATAATGACCTTTATACTTGAAGGTTGGTTTTCCTGGATGTAAAATCCTTGGCTCACAGTTTTTCCTCGAGTATCTAAATATATTCTATTTTCTTTTGGCATAACGTGTTGGTGTCACACAAAAAAAACCCCACCAGATGATAATCTAATTTTCTTTCCCTTGTAAACCATGTTCTTTTTGCCTAGATATTCATAAGGATTTTTTTTTCTCTTACAATGTAGTAATTTTACTAGAATATTGTTGGTTATTCTGAATTGGTATTTCTAGGTTCATACTGTTTGAATATATAATTTCTAGTCTTACCCACCATACCCCCATGAAAGTTGTTTTAAATTATAACCTTTGCGATTTGTTCTGTTGGCTCACTTTGGGTTTCTTCTTCAGGGACTCCTCTGTTATCCATATGCTTTATCTTCTTTACCTATCATTAATATTTGTCAGTTTCTCTTCAGACCCTTTTTCTTGTTCATTTCTTTTAGACTAAAAATATTCTGATTTTTACCTTTTATTTGGGGGTGGGGGGGCAGGTGTTGTCTGTTATGTTTCTTTGCTCTTAGGTTCTTTCTTGGTTTGTCTTCATTTCTAAAGTGCTTTTTATTTCTAATATTTTGTTGACTTATGCCACCTTCCTTTTGAGTATTTCTAATTCTGATTTATAATGTTTCCTGTCTTGTATGGTTTCCTTAATGTCTATTATCTTGTTTTGAAGTAGTATGTGATAGTTTTTAACTCTTCTTTTTTTGAGCATGTCTTTTTAGCATTCTTATATTATCTTAGGGATATTCTATACCTTGTTTTCTTTTTTCCTTATAGTAATTTTGGGACCTTGATTTTTAATTTTTCTTATTTTTATGTGAACTTAGTTTTCCTTTAACTTTAGAGGGTGGCTTGGTTCACACAGCTGTTCTAACTTCACGGGGCTCCACCTTCTGTCATTTTCGGGTAGTGCTCATAAACATGGTGACTTGCTTTCTGAGACTTCCTGGTCTGCTTTTATTTGGCCTTTCTCATTCGTTTGTTCCTCTTATTTCTATCCTGCTCGGATTTTATTTCATTTCTTGAAATTTCGCCTCAGTGTAGGGCCTGTCTTGGAAGGGAGCCCTCTCTGGCTGGTTTCTAGACTACTGGGGACTGCTCCGGCCCTTCAGACCTTTTTATTTTAGGCCCCTACACTCATCTGCTATTGGAAAGGGCAAAACTGCTCCCAGTTTCCACTGCTGGTCTCATACTGGCCAGCTGTTCCCAGGTCTGTGAGGCACCCCCATTGCTGCTCCATGATTTTTCCCCACAGAAGCTGATAGCATGCGGGTTACCTGGCTCTTGGTGGCAGCTCTTCACTCACTTCCATTGGGGAGTTATCACCTAGTTTTGTGTAAATATTGTTTCTGGGTATTTGGTTTTGTTATCTGCTTGCTCTGTGTTTTTATGGAGGGACTTGGGAAGATCCCAAAACTACGCTGCCACTGACACCACCACCTTCCCAGAGTCCTCTAACGTTGCCCCTTTATCGGTATCGCCAGAGTGAACATTTTGTAAATTAAATAATGCTTTGGGATAAATTCTCCTCCTAGTTATTTTTTTAAGTCCTTAAGTATGGCACTGATATTTTAATCATTTAATGTCCCCCAAATCATTTGTTATTATTAGGGTAATTGCAAGAAGCTTTTATAGCTTAGCAGGTGAAATGAAATTTTAAAGA